AGATGGAGACCAGTACAAGAGAAGAAACGTCCTCTAAATTTAAGAGACTTTGTTGTATTTTAATTTTGTGTTTGTAAATTCTGTACATTTAATTAAGTTATTGTTAATTATCTATTGGTTTAATGCAAGTGGCTATTGTGTGCGAGGAGTTTCTCGAATGATCATGAATTTCATAGTGCGTTCGAGACGCCCTTTTCTTTAGTATATAAGCCTGGCAGAGAAAGCATGCGGAGAATGAACGAAAAGAATTCCGGGTAATTTACGATTCTGTTTCGAGGTGTTTACGAGATTGTGAATCGCTGTGATTTATAGCGTGTATTATAAAATTTGTTACGTTTAAGTGGAATTACCGTGTACTAAAGTTTGTATGCAGAAAGAATAAACTGGTTTAATCAAGAAAGGACTTGGTTTCGGAAAAGATTTATACCGGAAATTTTTAAACAAGCAGATACGTAACAATATTACTGTTGTAATTTGTAAATGACTTTGCAATATTTCTACTTTAAATCAATAAAGAAAAGTTTTGAGCTTCCTCTATGAATTAAAATAACACTTAATTTATATAGCCAGCTATAACTCGTTGTATAATCCTTTAGAATGAAAAAAAGTACCTTTGCCTTTTCAAGCTTTCTAAGAGCTTGTTTCTCTGTCTCCCTGCGAAGCGCTTCCCTCTCCTCATCGAGTGACAGGTCTGAAGATGGCTGACTATAATTTGAGTCTGCAGATCCCTATGTGTGAGCAAATATAATTTATGTATATTTTCTGTTTTTATTTGGGAAACATGTGCAGAGTATTATCATTATACTTTATTTTGCAAGCATAAGTATAAAAACGTTCTACCTCTGATTTAATTAATATTTTAAGATACTTTCTTGATAACTTTTTTAATTCGTATTTACATTTCTCTCTTAATTAACCTTTACTTTGTTGTTCAAAAATACAGTTTCAACTATTAATCTCCACACCATTCGTAAGACATTCTGTGTGTATTTAAAATTAATTAGTTATCAGAATAAAGTGACTAACAAAACACATGTGAAAGAGATTAAAAAGTTCATAAACTATATTCATTTTACACAAAGCGTTAATAACAAAACAAGATATTAAATCGTTACAAAAAGTCAACTGTTAAGTGAATAATTATATACGAATTTATGAGGTTAACGATGTGTTACGGTATGACTCTTCCTTTGAAAATGACAACTTTGTATATTTAATTTCATTAAAGAAATAAAAAATAAATGTCATATAGTAAGAATTCTAACCTAAAACACCATCTTAACTAGTAAACATGGAATAGAACTTGTTTGGTCTACAACTGTTATCACTACTATTGTGCCATCTGTAAATGCGGGACCTTCCTGGACTATTCCAGCTATGTCACTATTATTTACAGGTCCAGGTTTTGCTGTTCACTTTAATAACATTGCCCCCATAGGGAAACCAATAGACTATGATGGAAAGGCATATAAGACTCAAAATAATTTATAGAGTGAATCGGAGGAATGGTGAGCTATCCATCTACACCAAAGCAAAGCTCTTTAGCAGGTCATGAAGGACAGAACAGACCTTAGCCAAACTTAAGGGAGCCTTAGAAAGGCATGCTCAATCATCTTACCCACATACTCTATGTGAAATGAAAGATTTATTCTCACATTATCAATTTACAGATGCCATAACAGATGAGCATAAGAAAAGTAGGCAAAGTAGATGTACACTTTTAAAGGAAGCTATCCAGTCACATTATAACGCCCCCACGGCTGAAAGGGACGAGCATGTTTGGTGTGACGGGGATTCGAACCCGCAACCCGCAGATTGTGAGTCGAGCGCCCTAATCACCTGGCAATGCCGGGCCTATTTTTCAAATGAGTTACATAAAGCTGAGAAAAGAATGAAATTGTTACCTAATCTTAAATCAAATTTATTGCTCTGACTAGAAATGTTGCACAGAAACTACCATTTAGTAAACAAGATATTAAAACGTTACAAAAAGTCAACTGTTAACTGAATAATTATATACGAATTTATGAGGTTAACGAAGTGTTACGGTATGACTCTTCCTTTGAAAATGACAACTTTGTATATTTAATTTCATTAAAGAAATAAAAAATAAATGTCATATAGTATGTTTGACAACTTAGAAATAAGTATATCATCAAATATGTCTCATTGATTGACCTTGTAGTTTTTTTCCCCCACATACAAGTGTTTTTTGTTATTGTCGTTGTTATTTCAACTTAATGTCTCTAGCTTTCATTTTTCAAATGTTTGTTTGTTTGTTATGAATTTCGCGCAAAGCTACACGAGGGATATAT